TATCATCACTCATGACTGCCTCAACAATAGCGACTATCTCAAAGATCTCCAGAGCATGCTCTCCGATCCTCTGGTGGAACTCTACTGTATCAGCCTCTGTCTACTTCTGCTATGTCTGACCGTGCCTTCTTCTTTTGCAGTCCACAGTTATGGAACTCTTTGCCTTTGAATCTGACAAACTCTGCTTCTAAGGAAAAGTTTAAGTCTCACCTCAAAACCTACTTCTTCACTTCAGCTTTTCAATGGATCTCCAGATTGTTGGCATATGTACATAGACATTACTTTTAAACTTTGTCACAGCGCCAGTGAGCATCTGTCGATGGATATTAGGTGCTTTACAAATCAATTATTATTATTATTATTATTATTATTATTATTATGAAAGTTTTGTTTCAGACAAGTGATGTTTTTGATCAGGGCTTCCAGACATAGACCTTTTCTTTAAAATGATAGGCCAAGCAACCCACATGTTTCAGAACACTAGCCTAGTCCAGAAGTGATGTATGTTTTTTGGTCGACCCTTTATAGTACAATGTCCAGGGACGTTATGAGATCGTAACCCTGTCTGGCGCTCGCGATCGGCATAAAACACCACTTGGTTAAACGCCATTCCATTCTAACCATAATTAAAACGTTATTTATTAAGAACCCTTGGAATACAAAGTATATAAAGTTCCAGCAAAAACAGTATGTTTTCTTTGTTACGTGATTGCCTTTTTTAATTCCTACTTATATTGACATTGATTTGGTACTTATTATACATATTCTCCCAATTCATAAACACATATGCATTTTCCATTTATTCAGGACGTTTTTTTATAATACTCTTGCAGTAAGTACAGCCATGCACGTTCCTGGAACGGACCTTTTAATGTGCAGTACTATAAACTTGGTCAAACTTCTGGTCGCTCTCCCTTTTCAATCGAAAACGTAGAAAAAAATTATACATCGTAAACCCAAAAATTCACAAAGCTCACCAACTGTTGTTCGGAATATCCCAGTACGGTTGGTCGGTACAGCCGACAATTAACAAAGTTGACGGTGTCAACTATCCGTCTCCAATAAGTTAGTTAGGCGGCAGAAACATTGTCAACTTTCAGTCGCCAACATGTTTGCTTGGTGGCAGAAACATCGTCAATTTTCCGTCTCCAACAAGTAAGATAAGCAGCAGAAACTCGTCTTTACATGTGAATCTGATTAATACTGAAATGTTCGTCGTGCGTGTTAAGTCTTTTTCATGAAAAGACAACACAAAGAAAGCTAGGCAGGATGTGGTGTCAGTTGTTCGATCATACCGACACCGTTCTACATGTGGGTAATTAACCATGTGAAGAAATGTCAACGTCGCATGGGGTTATGACGAAGCGAACATATCTCATTATGTGTTTATATGACAGTGGAGAAATGTCAGTTGGGAGTTGTGTGTCACTTGGGAAATGTCAGTTTTGGGTTATGTTTGAGTAGGGAAAGGGCAGTGTGGAGTTATGTCCGAGTTGGAAATGTCAGTGTAGAGTTGTGTCCGCGTTGGGACATGTCAGTGTGGAGTCATGTCCGAGTGGGGAAATGTCAGTGTTAGGTTATGTCGGGGTTATGTCCGAGTTGGGAAATGTCAGTGTCGGGTTAGGTTCGAGTGGGGACATGTCAGTGTGGAGTTATGTCCGAGTGGGGAAATGTCAGTGTGGAGTTATGTCCGAGTTGGGAAATGTCAGTGTCGGGTTAGGTTCGAGTGGGGACATGTCAGTGTGGAGTTATGTCCGAGTGGGGAAATGTCAGTGTGGAGTTATGTCCGAGTGGGTAAATGTCAGTGTGGAGTTTTGTCCGAGTGGGGAAATGTCAGTGTGGAGTCATGTCCTATAAGGGAAATGTCAGTGTAGGGTTATGTCAGGGTGGGGAAATGTCAGTGTCGGGTTAGGTTCGAGTGGGGACATGTCAGTGTGGAGTTATGTCCGAGTGGAGAAATGTCAGTGTGGAGTTATGTCCGAGTGGGGAAATGACAGTGTGGAGTTATGTCCGAGTGGGGAAATGTCAGTGTGGAGTTTTGTCCGATTGGGGACATGTCAGTGTGGAGTTGTGTCTCAGTTGGGAAATGTGAGTGTGGAGTTATGTCCGTGTGGGGAAATGTCAGTGTGGAGTTATGTCCCAGTGGGGACGTGTCAGTGTAGAGTTATGTCCGAATGGGGAAATGTCAGTATGGAGTTTTGTCCGAGTGGGGACATGTCAGTGTGGAGTTATGTCCGAGTGAGGAAATGTCAGTGTGGAGTTATGTCCGAGTGGGGAAATGTCAGTGTCGGGTTAGGTTCGAGTGAGGACATGTCAGTGTGCAGTTATGTCCGAGTGGGGAAATGTCAGTGTGGGGTTATGTCCGAGTGGGGACATGTCAGTGTCGGGTTAGGTTCGAGTGGGGAAATGTCCGTGTGGAGTTATGTCCGAGTGGGGACATGTCAGTGTGGAGTTATGTGGGAGTGGGGAAATGTCAGTGTGGAGTTATGTCCGAGTGGAGAAATGTCAGTTTGGAGTTATGTCCGAGTGGGGAAATGTCAGTGTGGAGTTATGTCCGAGTGGGGAAATGTCAGTGTGGAGTTATGTCCGAGTGGGGAAATGTCAGTGTGGAGTTATGTCCGAGTGGGGACATGTCAGTGTGGAGTTGTGTCTCAGTTGGGAAATGTCAGTGTGGAGTTATGTCCGAGTGGGGACATGTCAGTGTGGAGTTATGTCCGAATGGGGAAATGTCAGTGTGGAGTTATGTCCGAGTGGGGACATGTCAGTGTGGAGTTGTGTCTCAGTTGGGAAATGTCAGTGTGGAGTTATGTCCGAGTGGGGACATGTCAGTGTGGAGTTATGTCCGTGTGGGGAAATGTCAGTGTGGAGTTATGTCCGAGTGGGGACATGTCAGTGTAGGGTTATGTCCGAGTGGGGAAATGTCAGTGTGGAGTTATGTCCGAGTGGGGACATGTCAGTGTAGGGTTATGTCCGAGTGGGGACATGTCAGTGTGGAGTAATGACCGAGTGGGGACATGTCAGTGTGGAGTTATGTCCCAGTGGGGACATGTCAGTGTGGAGTTGTGTCCTAGTGGGGACGTGTCAGTGTGGAGTTATGTCCCAGTGGGGACATGTCAGTGTGGAGTTATGTCCCAGTGGGGACATGTCAGTGTGGAGTTATGTCCGAGTGGGGACGTGTCAGTGTGGAGTTGTGTCCTAATGGGGACGTGTCAGTGTAGAGTTATGTCCGAATGGGGAAATATCAGTATGGAGTTTTGTCCGAGTGGGGACATGTCAGTGTGGAGTTATGTCCGTGTAGGGAAATGTCAGTGTGGAGTTATGTCCCAGTGGGGACATGTCAGTGTGGAGTTATGTCCGAGTGGGGACATGTCAGTGTAGGGTTATGTCCGAATGGGGACATGTCAGTGTGGAGTTATGTCCCAGTGGGGACGTGTCAGTGTAGAGTTATGTCCGAATGGGGAAATGTCAGAATGGAGTTTTGTCCGAGTGGGGAAATGTCAGTATGGAGTTATGTCCGAGTGGGGAAATGTGAGTGTTGAGTTATGTCCCAGTGGGGACGTGTCAGTGTGGAGTTATGTCCGTGTGGGGAAATGTCAGTGTGGAGTTATGTCCGAGTGGGGAAATGTCAGTATGGAGTGGTTATGTCTGACTGGGGAAACATTTTTTGTGGACTTATATCATAGAGAAAAAATCAGATTGGGGTTATGTCCGAGAAGAAAAATGTAAGTTAGCGGCAATGTATCATCGCACTACTTCTAAACTGTACATTGCATGTGCTCAGTGATCAGGAGATCACAATATTTACAAACAATAATTTTGTAATAACACTTTATGCAGCCTCAAACAATTATCCGACACAAAACAGTGCTGCCGGTGTTCGAACGTATCTTGAACAAACTAATTCATCTATCCGTCATACAGATTTAGTTTGCCTTGTCAGTCGTGTGAGCAGTGCCGCTTCAACAATGCAAGCATTCAACTGTATGTGAGTTAGGAATCAAAGTGCTGCAGGGGTTTTCAACAAGAAGGAGCCAGCGATTTTCACAACAACGCAAACCTTGATATACATTCACATTTAATCAATGGAAAATATTTTTAACTTGCGGATTAACGTATTGCTTTTCTTATCGGTTTGAGGATCCAGGTGATACATATTAATGTATTTGAACTATTTCAAACAGAACGTAAAATGATTTACATTCTTCAAAGATCATTCTTTTCTCCGTGTGTGGAGGTATGATAGCTGTGGATCTGCAGGTTAATTGGTCTAGGGTTTAAAGCCCCGAATGCGAGTATAAAGAAGGAGAGGTTTGTCCTTCTTGTGTGACACCAACTGTCTTAGGAACAGGGCACACGAAGCAAATAATGACTGGTAATATTGGTCGGGAGGTACCATACAGCCTTGGGACAAACCTGTCACGCGCTCAGGCAGAAATACTCAAACCTTTCCGCTATCTTGGTTTTTGCAAAGGAAAGGCTACCAACGTTACCTTTCAAAACCAACATGGCGAGAGGGCATAAATATTTGAGAATGGGAAGCGGACAGACTTTTGTAGCTATAATTTTGATATTTGCATTAAGATGAATACCTTGTAAAGAACATGAGCAGTCTGATTGGTAGTTTACATGCAGACAAGTTGTAACAGTTTGCCGGTTTTTTGAAATTACGGCTTCAGTTTGTCTCGGATTCTTTCGTACGGAAAGAGATTAGAATATGTGTTTATTTAACGCGAACTACAGTATCCTAAACAAGGCACCACAAGGCTATTTTATTGGAAAGCAAATATTCTAGGTTTGCGAAGTAAAGTTACCCAAAATGGTAATGTACGTTTATTGATCATACAGAAGGATAATAACACATAGATTTGCATCCCTCGCCGTAAGTGTGACAAGTGCCAACGAATGTAAACACATACGCACTTGTTATATGTGCATTAGATGTAGGAAGGACGGAGTCAGAGTGAAAATATTGCTTACATTATTATATAATTCCTACTTACCAAGGCTTAGCCTGCACTGCAACAGGAGAAACCATATCGCAATGATATATGATACATCCATTCCGAAACCATCACACACTGACCTGCGAGTACTGTGTAACTGCTAACTACAGTATGTGCATTCTGGATTCAAATGTCATCATCGGGCATGTCAGGCTGAAGAGTCGGAACAGGCCGCGATGGTGGGATTGCTAAAATAGCATTACGGAACTTTAAAACGAAATACGTTTGGGACGTTTTATTGAATCAGGAGAACTGACGAAGAAGAAAACAGTATTTAACGACTGAACGTGATCACTATTCTACAGATATCTTTTCTGTTTATGTTTGAAGTCAATATGATCACCGGCTTTGACTACTCGTCAGTTTACTTCTGTAGTGTCAACAGTCACCACCAGAAGGACAACAAGTGCAGTTCTGGGATGTGTTTCAGAGACAGGATACTTGTTCTGTCACTGCTTCAGAACATACACTTTTACAACACACTATGTTCAGAACATTGAACAATATAATTTTCATCTTGAGAGATCTGAAACAGGTTTTTTTCAGAGTATTTTCTCCAGAATTATTATTATTATTATTATTATTATTAGGTACAGATTAAAATTTTAAAAATGCAGTAAAGAGGGTTTGGGTGATCCTGACACAGTCAGGCTGGTTAGGACTCATCATCAGCTCAGGACCCTTGCCCCCTCTACACGCAGCCCAGACAGCGAATGGGACTTCTCCCAGGAAGCGCTGCCTAGTCAAACCCAAACGCCAGAAGTAATGGCGTTAGGACACAAGTACCGGTTTCGAATACCATCATGGCTTGGCGCCGTATTAGATTTGGTCTTTTTAGGCAATCTGAACCTAGGATAGGTAGAGACTTAATGCTGGTGTCTACACCCATGTTTTGGGGGTCAAGAAATTTGATTTTAACAGTATTTACGTTATCGACTCATTTCTTAGCATGAATTCAAAATGGCGGGCATTGTATTTACATCCTGTTACCATTTCTTCATTTTCAATTTGCATCATTTCAAAATGGTGGCCTTTAAAAAAAAAAATCTTTACTCTTTTATTGGATATGAGACTGGCAAAGGTGTTGTCAATAACTTTTTTGAGTGCATTTGGTGTCATTTTCAAGTTCCTCCTAATTTCAGGTTAAGTAAAGATGGATGTACCCCAATGTGCCCTCTGCTAAAGTCATATCCAAAGACCAAGAAAGTGCTACTCTCACCCAAAAAGGATGTGACGGGATCCAGGGAGCCAGTGAACAAAGAGGTGTGGATACCAGTACAGCACCTGGACAGAAGGTGCACAAGAAGTGCCGACAAGAACACTGCAATGCTAAGTGTATTGCATCATACAATCACAAGAGGAAATATGATGCTGAAGATCAAAACTGGACAACTCCCACATTAAGATCTGCAGACTCCCCCTTCAAGAACTATGAACACTCCATATTTTGTGGTACGGGTGACAAATATTGTCAAGTTAGTACCAGTCAAAACATTTGACTTTCAGACATCAGTGTTACAAACATGCACAAATAGAAATGATAACTGGGCACAGAAAGTTAAAGCCAGAATAGACTTTATCAATGACCTTCATGTAGCAGATGCAGTCTACCATCAAGCTTGCAGTGTGAATTTCAGAACACAGAAGCAGATTCCTCAAAAGTATCTTGCAAGTGAAAGTAGATCTGCAAAGCAAGCCAAACTTGGAAGACCACAAGATGACGTGCAAGCTGAAGCTTTCATGAAAGTAATGAAGTACCTTGGGGAAAATGATGAGGAGCAGACCACCATACATGACCTCATAAAAATTATGGGTGACTTCCTAGTTGACACTAACGCCGAGCCCCACAGCTTTCCTCACATGAAGAAACAGATCCAAAAAAAGTTCTGTGACAAAATTATAATAACTGAGATAGATGTGAAGCCAAATATTGTCACCTTTTCGAGCACTGCACAAACTGTAATTAATGAATTCCACTTATACCAAGCACATCCAGCTGAGAGCTGTGGGAAGATAAGCTGCTGCAAAGCTGATCAAGAATGACGTGAAATCTGTCAAAAAGGCAGAAAGAAACCTATCCTACTTATACAGAATTGGCTTCGGTTGAAGAGGACAACTCATTCCTGCCAGAATATTTGAGAGTTTTCCTCCAAGGTCTATTTGCAGGTACAGATGCAATGCAGAAGGTGGCCTCAACAGGTCAAGCCATTATGCAGGCCATACGCTCCCGAGCAATATTGGCACCGCTTCAAGTAGGCTTAGGCATCCAGTTGCATCACCATTTTGCTTCCAGATTCCTGATTGAAACACTGTACAAGCACGGTTTTCCCTGCAGCTACCCAGAGGTTGCATTGTATGAGCGCAGTGCAACAGTCAACAGTGGGGTGGAAATTCCAAATCTGACACTCAATAACTTTGTTCAATATGCACCTGACAACGTGGATCATAATGTTGTTTGGTTGGTTGGTTTGTTGTTTAGCGCCGCACTCAGCAATATTCCAGCTATATGACGGCGGTCTGTAAATAATCTAGTCTGGACCAGACAATCCAGTGATTAATATCATGAACATCGATCCACGCAATTTGGATCGATGACATGTATCAACCAAGTCAGCGAGCCTGACCACCCGATCCCTTTAGTAGCCTTTTACGACAAGTATAGTCGCCTTTTACGGCAAGTATGGGTTGCTGAAGACCTATTCTACCCCGGAATCTTCACGGGTCGGATCATAATGTACGCACCCTAGATGGTCATAACACATAGCCACAGTAACCCCTGGTACATTCAGTTCAAAGCCTATTTCAAGACTAACTACCACCTTAGAGCAACTTGCTACTTCTGGTCGCATTGAGATCAAGCAATTTGTGCCTGAATGTGATGGTCTGCAGTCACTACAATATGGAAAGTTACAAGATCATCTTGCTGAGGACGCATGTGGGAATGTTGATCTCTTGTGGAGCATATCTTTGCCCCTCAGATCACCTCGCCCTCTCTGGTCAGGGTTGATGCAGTTGGTGCAGAGAAATCATCCATACAGTTTTTGCCGATGACTGACATGGACCCAACTGGCAAGACCTGTCGGTACTGAATGCTGCTGTTTGTTACTTCACATGCCAGGCAGTACAATGTCACACCAATTCACATTTGTTCAACCACTGTTTCAGAAAGCTCTGATAATTCAAGAAAGTGCCTGCAAGAACGACGAGATAAAGGAACTTGTACTTAGAATGGGTGGCTTTCATACAGAAATGAGCTTTGTGAGAGCAATAGGACATCTTATGGTAGACTCAGGTCTGAAAGAATTGCTAGAGTGCATATATGCAAGCAACACAGTCGTCCACATATTAAGTGGTAAAACGATTTCTCAGGCTGTATGTGCACACTTACTTGTAGTGGGAGTCCTTCATGCTATGCTTGTATCTCATGCATTTAGCATTCCACCTCTGTGTGTTACATCAGACCAGAAAGGTACTGAAAACACAGATACATCTGCAGAAAGTGATCTTGAATCTGTGCAAGTTACCACTGAGGCATCCAATTTGTCTATGTCATATGATATTGTTCATCAGAGCAGTGATCAAGAAGATGGCACAGCAGATCAAGAATCAGAAGAAGGTAGTAGTAAGGCACATAACGTATTGTAAATGCTGGTAGATGATTCCACAGCGTTGGATGAACAAGAAGGAACGACCTCGGATTCTGCACGTGAAACTGAAGATTCTGCAGGTGAAAATGCAACTTATGCACCAATGCCAGATATCCTGATAGCTGCTGGTAAACTCTATGATGACTTGATGGCTGGGTCTATTACCATTGAGAGTATACAGGATTCTCAGGTGTTGCAAGACATAAAGCAACAACTGAAAGCAGCAAGAGATGCCATGTAAACCAAACACACTTCTATTATGAGGCTGCAGTATATCAAAGCTGAACGTACTGGTAATTGGAACCCACACCTGAAGTCAATGCAAGATATGTTCACCCTAACTACACTAAATCTGTTCACATCTACTTGAGCAAGATGGAAAACCTTGAGAAATAGCATAAAGAAGTTTATCAGCACTGCCAAAATGGTTTCCACGTCGTTACAAGGTCAGATACAGTAGATACTGGGTCGGGCTCTCTGAAGATATACTTATTGAACAGGTGGTGATGAGAAGTCTGAAGACTACTTGTGGCCTTACAAGAGTTCGTGGTATGACCCAGACACAGTGTCATATGTGGCCGCTATCATCTAATGCCTGTTCTGAGGTCAACTTGGCAATGCAGGAGTTCTCATCGGTAAAGTACATGACCAGTGAGCAGCATGATGAGGGGCCAGAGCAAACAAAGAAGAAGGACCAATACAGGGATATGTCCGAGGCAACAGAAGACAGAAGACACAAGAGTGCTCCTGAACTTCTTAACACAAAGAAACCTCTTTAATGAGAATCCAGCACAGCACAGTATTGTGACTGGTGTAACAGCTGATGACACTGTCAATATGGACTCTGCAAGACAGGGGGGAGAGAAGATCTTGAATAATATGGTGGGAAAACGTGTTGCAGAATATACATTCAGGAAGAAGGATCAAGCTGTCACCTTGTCTGATAGCAGCTCAGTAAAAACAAAAAGAGGGAATGGTTCAAATAGATCCCCAGCTGCTCTTTCAGAGACCTATAACATTGGGAACACGTCAAAACAGTCTATCAGAAGCATTCCAATATGAGTTATGTAGTTATCCCCCGGCGCTCTTCCAGAATAAGTGGACCCCACGCCTAGCAAATAAGGTTCAACTTGCTGATACAATTTGGAGTCTGATGCCTCAAGGAATGTTCATACCACCTGGAGACGTGCAGTATGTCCTAGATGGAGGAGCTTTGCTTCACAGAATCATATGGAGCCGAGGGTCAAGATATGATGAGATATCTGAGCAATATGTCACATATGTGAACAGACACTATGGTAAGCCAGTCGTGGTATTTGACGGTTATCTCAGCGGCCTAAGCACCAAGGATACAACACAACAACGAAGAGCAGGATCGCAGGATCACGTGTTGGAGCCCCTGTACAAGTCTCAGGGTCTATGGTCTTCAATGGAAAGAAGCAGGACTTTCTTTCCAACAAGGATAATAAGTTGATCACCTTGCTTGATGAACATCTACGACA